GCAGCTCAGGGAGAAAGGCACACTGTATTGAATCAGGGCCAGTCTGCAGAGCTTGCACAAGAGCCAGGTCCAAACTGCTTAGGGTGTTCAGATGTGCAATGTTAATACCCTATTCACGCTCTGCCGTGATTAGTGATTGCATCTATTTTTACTCTGACACCAGCAGACTTCCTTCATTTTTTCTTCTTAAATAAACTACGCCACCTTCCCATCCTCCTCTGCCCCCCTTGGGTCCCCACGCCAGTCGCTGCCCTGCCACGTAAAGCCTGTTCCTGGCACACACAGGCCATATCCCCGCTGAGATCCACCACAGGGGTCACTTCTACATTTTTCTTGCAATAAAGCAAAACACATGAGATGGTCACATTCTAACTCTTTGACCATAATTACTTAAAAAGCCCCAAATGACTACATTGAGGGGAAGCGGAGCAACATTTCCAGGAGTACCAGACACATGGATTAGTAAACCTCCTAAAGGCCATGAGGAAAGAAAAGCTTTATACAATTACCTGGACTGTATCCACTAAAGCTTCCTCAGCTGCAGTCCTTTCTACCACCAGCAGTTTGACACACTTGTTTCATTTAAAAAGATAGAGAATGCATTTAGAACCATATTTTAGAAAATAGTCCATAACCTTGCAGTTTATATAAAATGGTTTGTAGCCTCAATCTGCCAAAGGGCAGGGGCTTTGTACAAAGGGTTGAAAATGAAAACACCTGGCTGTGCTCAGTCTGACCTGCAATTCTTTTCACATGCAAAGGTAGAGGCCCCGGGGAGAGGGAGGCCAGAAGAAAAGCAGGGTACATGCCCAGGCTGGAGAGATGTGAGTCAAATCCCTGTTCTGCCTTCTCATCTCCCCATTGGTATGACCGATACAGAGGCATTTCCCTTTCTCACAAAGATATTCTGAGGATAAATACACTAAAAAATCGAGGTGTCCAGCTGCTGCCTTGTATTATTAAGATAACTCCTTCTGATTATATGTTTAGATTTCATCTTTAAATGTTGTATGAGTCACCCACCCCCCAAAAAAGCATTGTTTCTGTAAGATACAGTCTGGCTGATACATCATTCTGAGCAACATTGCTGTGGTTCTCTGATGGCCTCAGAAGAGCCCTTATACAAAAAAAATATTTGCTTCGGTGCAAGTGCAGGGATTACTCCCAAAGAATTACCCCTTAAATATTGAGGCCAGTGCTTTCAGAGCTAAGACCCAGGGAAAGCAGCAAGTGTAGACCATCCATGCCATGCAGGGATATTTGCATAAGCTTTGGCAGTAGCTACAGCCATCTGAAACACCGATAAGCCAGAACAAAACATTTTGCCTGTGTAATCATCCACATCCTGACCTCCTTGCATTCTGCCACCTTCCTAACATTTTACCACAGCTGTGCCTTATAGAAAACCATTTTCTGCAGCGGAAAGTAAGGTTACAGAGTTACCTATGGGTGGATTCTCACGTATCAATTAGTGTTTCTTCATGAAGCTACCCTGAATAACCTCAGTGTTCAGTATATTTTCTTAAAATTGCAGAGGATGATGCATCTAGTGCCATCTTTCACCTCTGAATCTTATCACCGCCCAATTGGGCACAATACCTTAGAGCTCGTTAAAAGAGGCTTAAAGCAGCGACATATATATGTTTCTTTTCACATATCCCAAATAGGTTGCAAAAAGTCATTTTTGTGAAGGTCAGAGCTGGGATTGGTATCTTCATCTTTTGAGCCAAACGGATATAAATTTGGCACTATATTGACCCACTGCGCTGATTGTACCAAAAGTGGAGGGAGTTGCTGCCAGCACAGAAGTCACTGCAAGAACATGGAAAGGTCAAACTGACCCTGGCAGCTTGTAAATCTAGAAAGCCTTTCTGCATTTAACCTTAGAAAAATCATGAAGTCTCAGTTTCCTCCTTTTAAAAAAGGAATAACCTGTTCTCCTTGAGCACGAAATGTGTTCCACTCGGAAACGTACTGGGTGTGATGAACACTGCATGAATGGGGACTGGGGGTCCCCCCAAACTGTGGGACAGTCCTGGGTGCACAGAATTACGAGCATGGGAGCTGCAAGAAGGCACGGCCCTGCTATGGCAGGTAGCTGCTGAGTGGAGCTGTGCTCGCAGGAATAGGTTTCGTTTTGGAAGCCTTTTGGTTCAGACTTAAAGGCAAACCAACAAAAAGCTTCCTGCATCTCAGGCAGGAATACAGGTTTGGTACTAAATGTCTTTTAGAGAGGTTTGGTAGTAATAGTCCTGTAGGAAACCTGAGAAACTCAGTAACTGGACACTGCCCATCTTCAAAGACTTGAAGAAATGGTTGCTCTGCAGGAAAGAATATCAGACATGAGGGAAAAAATACTAACAGTGGGGACTGGGACAGTGAAGCCATGGAACAGGTTACGGGATGGGTTGTCAAATCCCCCTTGCTGGAAGTTTTTAAAAACAGAGGAAGGGGGTGGTGTGTGTAAAGGGAACTGAGGGTACCGCAGTGCAGGAACTACGTCTGAGGAGCCCTCCAGCCACACGTCTGTATGAAAGGTGATGCTGGCAGCGGTGCAGCAGAGAGGTAAGGAATTCAGGGGAGAGGCGAGACGAGGCAGAGCAGCATGGCAGCGGGCAGCGTCCATGCCCTGCGCTGTCCCTCGCTGGTGCGACTGGATTGGCAGTCGCAAAGGAATCTTGGCTATGGGACACGCAGTCTTGGGGGACCTGTCTGTCCCTCGTCCTGCAGCTCACCTCCTGAAGCACAGGTGTTTACGGCTCCTATTGATTTCCCTTTTTCTGTCTTAGAGGTGGAGGTTGTTATTATCCGTGATCAAAGTTTCCTTCTCCAAGTTACTGATCCAAAGAATCGTCATAAAACACACAAAGTTTGGTATTAACGTGGGAGTAACTCACAGACTAAAATAAAAGTTTGATGAACTGACCTTTACATACAACAGCAGACTGTCATTTTGTGATCTACATTTAGATTTTTTCCACATAAAACAAATCACTACGCGTCCCCTCTTTTACAAATTGCAATAAACATTTTGAAGCACTCTATAAATATAATTTGTTCTTGTCTTGTAAATGTCTCTGAACTCCACCCTTCGCAATTAAAGTGGTTTCCTCAGCAACTAATACATTCCAAAGTCTTTTTAAAAAAAGAGGGAATCTAAAAAGACGAAAACAAGCAAAAAAAAAAAAAAAAAGACAAATGATAAGACCGAACCTGTTTGATGGACACAAGATACACCACAGTCTGAGGTAGTGTGAAGTTTTTATTGCTACTTGTTTCGTAATACTGTTCTCTCAGACTCATCCCAATAAAAAGTTTATTTTGCCTCAGACCGCCGGGGCACGGCTTGCTCCGCAGGCAGGGCAGGCTTAGGATTAGGACCGCCAGCTGGGCAGCCCATGGAGCCGAGGCTTTCTACCTTTTTGGTGGTTAGAGGAACCAGCCATGAAATGTGGCTCCAGACACGACACCCCTCAGCTCTTCCTTGCAGAGGTGGCAGCGGGGACGTGTGTCAGTGCCTCCCTCTGCAGGGTGAGGGCCAGCGGCCCCTGAAACCCTGTCCAGAGAGCAGCAGAGGCTAGTCATGCAGGAAAATCATGCGGATGTGAATTGTGGGAAAAGAGAAAGGAATCTTTGCCAAAGGTCTCTGAGCTGGCCACTAAGTTCAGGCAAGAAAATTCGTATTTGGCACCCTACTTTTTTAACAAATGTCAGGAACTGGTAGCTCCTGCTGAAACAGAGCTTACAGTAGTGGTCAGAAAGGGGGGTGATGTATGGAAAGGGTGCTGAAGGATTCGTTACAGTCTGCAATGAAAGAAATGAAACGTGGCTGGAAAAAGCAGCAAGGTGCCTTGAATATATACATGTATGAAGCTGGGTTAAGCCCTGCAGAGAAGGACTTAGGGATACTGGTGGATGAAAAATTGGACATGAGCCAACAGTGTGCACTTGCAGCCCAGAAAGTCCATTGAATCCTGGGCTGCATCAAAAGAAGCATGGCCAGCAGGTCGAAGGAAGTGATTCTGCTCCGCTTTGGTGAGACCCCACCTGGAGTACCGCATCCAACTCTGGGGCCCCAGCACAAGAAAGGCATGGACCTGCTAGAGCGGGTCCACTGGAGGGACATGAAGATGACCAGGGGGCTGGAGCACCTCTCTGGTGAAGAAAGGCTGAGAGAGTTGGGCTTTTTCAGCCTGGAGAAGAGAAGGCTCTGGGGAGACCATATTGCAGCCTTTCAATATACGAAAGGGGATTATAAGAAAGCCAGAGAAAGACTTTTAACCAAGGCCTGTAGTGACAATGGTGCAATGGTTTTAAACTGAAAGAGGGTAGGTTTAGATCGGACTTACAGAGGAAATTTTTTTACAAGGGTGGTGAGGTACTGGAATAGGTTCCCAGAGAAGTGGTGGATGCTCCATCCCTGGAAATGTTCAGGGTCAGGTTGGATGGGTCTTTGAGCAACCCGATCTAGTGAAGGATGTCCCTGCCCATGGCAGGGGGGTTGGAGTAGATGATTTTTGACAGTCCTCTCCAGCCCAAACTGTTCTGTGATGATTCTATACAATGTGTTCATAGGGCTGGTGCAGTGGAGGGACTTAGATCCCAGATTCTTGCCAGAAGAAGATGGAAGAGTGCAGAGGGTCGCACAGGAGAGTTGTGGTCCTTGAGGTCATCCATCTGCACCTTCCACAAGTCCCACAGGCTTGAACAAACTGTGTTTCAAGAGGGATTGAAATGCTACCAAACCAGAATGGCAGCGAGGTAGTCTGTAAAGGAGAGCTGATACCTTTTATTACATCAATGAAATAGTGGGGGAAAATGTAACAGTTTAAAAAAAAAAAGAACAGAGACAAGCCTTTAGGTATGAAAGCCCCTCCCGAGGCCTGCAAGAGGAGCTAAAGAGGAATTGGCGTGGTAGCACTTCCACATCTGCATTGCAACAGAGACGGAGCATTAAGCCCATTGCCAGAGGAGGGGGGAGAGAGGACATTTAAACCCGGTCACCGTAAGGGGTGCAGGTTAAAACCCATGTCGTCACTGCAGCAGCTGAGACCCATATGGCGCCCTCCGTCTCCTTCGCTTCCCCTCGGAGGAGCCAAAAGCTGGCGGAGGTGGTGTGCCCCGCTCGCCGTGGGGCAGGGCCCGCCCTGAGGGGCAGGGTAGGGCGGCGGAGGGAGGCAGCGGCCGCTGTAGGCCGGCGGGGGCTTCTCCTCACAGGAGTCATCCCCCAAAGGGCCGGCGTTAGGCCTGAAGCAGTCATGGCCGCCCTCTGTCACGGGCAGGACGTGCTGGGAAGGGGCTGCGCAAGGCGGGTGGGCCGCGGGGACGGCAGGGCCGCCGCCAGGCCTCCTGGGGCCGGGGGTCCTCCCGAGGGCCGCGATCCTGCTCCAGGTGGGCGCCTCTCCGCAGCCCCCGTCCTCCCCACATGCTCTTGGGTACGGCGGCTGCCCGGAGCGGCTGCCCGGTGTCAGCTCCTGGGAGCTTTTGCTTAAATGTCTCCCGAAATGAGCAGGCGGCATGGAAGCATCCGGCTCGGAAAGAAGCGAAGGCAAAGCCTCCCGCGTCGGCATTGCACCTGTCAGAGACTTGGGAAAGCAAGGGGTGGTTTAGTAAAACAAGGTGTAGTCCAGCAGCACGAGATGAAAGCTGTCCCGTATGCGACCCTCACCGATGCATTCAACAAACACAGGTAAAGAAGCAGATGCTGTAGCAGAGCCTCCTTGCAGGGTAGTGCCAGTGGGCTTTAGGGGCAAACCAAACAGGGCTCCCAGATCACGGGTCTGGGTTTGTTTCACCAGATTTTGCCCAAAGCCAGTCTTGCACCAAAAGAATTGTTAGACCTCACATTCACAGCCCTTGAGGTCCACTGCCAGCATATACTGAAGAAGCACCTGAAAATGAAATTATGCTAATACATTTAACACACCAGGTGGGTTTTTTTTCTATGGCATTTGGAAAAGCTAAGTGTGATTTTTTTAAAACTGATTGTTTTGAAGTGATCTGTTCACTACAATAATATTGTGCTTCAGCTTTTCAAGACTCTACTTCTATTTCTGACTCATAGAGTTTCCCATCTTTGCATTTTTTTACCCCACAAACAGAAATTTAATTCAGGGAGGGAGTTGCACACAAGAATTATTCTTCTGGGTCTTTTGTTCTGGATATTTCACAACTTCTTCAATTGCCCTAATTATTGGATTATAATTTTGCAAACTTTCAGAATTCCTTTCAGGATACTAATTTTGTGCTATCATTTCTGATGAGTACTTACAGGTCTGTCTTCTTTGAAATTCTGCTTTTGCATCCATTTAATTACAGTGATTTTGCTGACTGCCAGAGTAGCAAAGCTCCTTTCAGCTGTTTTCCACTCACTGTGAGAAGAAATTCCAACAACCTGATGCAGAACCCAGCCCACCTTCAGCTAAAGACCCACTGACACCGTAGAGAAAACATCCTATCTATCCCTTGTTCTATTTTGGGCTCATACATTTTTCTAAAGTTCTCCTCCCTGGTCTCTTGTAAGCATATTAAATTGAATCTTTTCAGAAGACTTTTTGCAGATTCAGTGACACAGGTTCTGCGTGTCAGATCAGACTCCTGAGTTAGTTGTATCGCAGCCAGTCTTGGCGGAACACAAATATGATGGGCTATTCCCAAGAAAAACCTGCTGGAGAGCCATGAACTGGAAAGCCTGCTGAGGGTAAATGGTATCACTGCGACGGCACAGAGTCAGACCAGCTGAAGAGCTGGATCTACAATTAGATATTTATGACATTTTTGGTCTGTTCCTATTCCCACACAATTCAAAGTGAAAACACCAGGAAGATGTAGGAAGGCAAAGACGAAGACACGTCTAGAGGGAACTTGACCTCAGTAAGACCAGTAGGCTCAGGTATAAAAGAAAAAAAGCCACGTGGCTCAGTAACATTTCCTAGGTGAGGACTATTTTAGCGCTCATGGGGACAGAATTAAACCAGTGATATGAAAATCGTTGTTTCTGTATTTGTTAGAGATTTACACAGTGGCTCAGCTGCTTTTTCTTATGCTCATGTTCCCAGGTGCTTGTGTCAAGAGGCCACCACCAGTTCGTCCTGTACTCTCTGACTGTCCCATCCCAAGACAGTGTGTCTCCATGAGAGACACTCCTGATCTCTGGTTTTTAGTATCCTCCTGAGTATTTCCAGTACAAATAGCTGCAGCTCCTAAATTCATATTCCACTGAAATGGGTTTAACTTCCTCTGTTCACTCTTTTAATCTACTTCTTGGCCTCCTGGATCCCTCTGCTTCCCCACGTCATCCATTTAAGAAGTCTGTCCCCAGCCAGCCCAATTATCCCTCTTGTCTGTAGCTGAAGGGGCACTGATTACTATCCCCAACACCACGCTGGGGAGGATGCACCACCTCTAGCACTTCAAAAGACAAACTGCATGAGAAGACCGGTGGTGTACAGTCGTGTATAACACAGCCTTTGCAAGGAAGGCCACTGGAGACAGCCTCACTGCTCTGCCTGGTTCCCTCCATCAGGCACGCGGCAGTCCATGGGATCTCTCTAAATGTTTTCACAAGTGTTTGCACACCCAGCACAGCTGATGCGTTAATGCCAGTGCTTCTGTAAGTCCTTCAAAGCACTCTTCTACCTTCAAAGCCCTCCTGGAGATCCACAGAGCAAGCAGGGCACGCCAGGCAGAGGTGAGGCACCTTCCCCTTATCAACCCTGGCAAAACCCAGGAGGGACAAGCAGAGGTGGAGGGTGCCTTTGCTTTTCTGTGGCACCTCCTCCATGTCAGGGGAGGACCTCCAGACACACATCAATGTGGAGAAAACATGACCTGCCCCTGTCTTTCCAAAGGCAAGGCAGTGTCTCCTGCATGTGAAGGTGCCCGCACAGCCCTTGAGGGTCTGCAGGTGGCCAAATCCTGCTCAGGGGCAGCTGCTCTGCAGGAGAGCATCTGTCTCCCTGGTGGGCATTAAGTCTGTGAATAAAGCAATCCAGGCCTGCTACTGAAGTAACTGGGTTTTCTTAAGTAAAGGTTGGGGGACTGGAGGAAAAAGGAGTAAGGATTTCTGGATTTGCCTTGTTAATGACAAGTTTGTTTTGTCAAGATACCATACACAGTATATGATAGACATATCATAGAGGTAATGTTATATATTGTATTCTATAGCAAAATAGTATACAGTGTATGTGTGTGTATGTGTACACACATACACGAATCTTCCTCCTGAGTTCAGTTATTGCCAAAAGTATTTCCCAGTTTTCAAGCGTTCATTTGTCACAATTTTCTCATGGGGTGGTGCAATCAATACTATAAGTTAAATCCAATTTAAACCTTCTAATATTCTCTTTCAATGTCAATACTGATTAGACTAAATATCTAATTACTTTATTCCCAGATTTCTTTGTAAATAATCTAATTTCTGGAGAAGCACTAACAAAGAACTTGCAGGAATTTTTTCCAAAGACACTTCCTGCATTTAAAAAAGGCGAGTACTGGGGCTATAAAGCTCTGTCCATGCTGCTAAATAAAATGAGGCCAAAGATCGTTGTCGGTAACAGGGACCAAAAGGCATGGCCTGGTGGTGTCCGCACTGCATCCTGGCCCTGGACGACCTCTGGACCTGAAGTGAAATGATGCAAGGGCTGCGTTGCAGCCCACCAAGGGCTAATTTGGGCAGCATCAGCTTAAGATTCTTATTGCCTGTGGCTTGTAGCATGGTGGCACATAGGGGCACAGGTAGGTTCAAAGGCAGCTGTGTACAGTGAAGGGACCCAAATGTGATGCAACCTTGCCCAAAATCCTGCTAGGGAATGGTCCCTGGCACATGCTGTCCCCCTGACCCGTGCCAGGGTATTTTGTCTGTGAGCATGAGCTAGCACTGGCCAAATCCATGGCAGGGACCATATGAATAGTGACATAACTGAGCCTGCCCTCCAGCCCTGCTTTATTTACCCGTATAGATGTAATCCCCTGCTGCCACCAAGCCCTGAGAGGCTCCAGATGGGGGGTGCTGGCAGTGGATGACAGTGCTGAGCAGAGCAGGATGCTCAGGACAGCCCTGCTCCTTCTTGGTCTGATTACGGGGAGGCAGAATGTGGACATGTAAAGCCTGCTCCTACCCAGACCCAAAGCCCAGATAGCTTCCACTGTGCCTTGAACCATGGATCACTGAGCCCACCATTTCATTGATTGATGATAAGAGTTACCTCAATCTCCCGGATTCTTTTTAATCTTGGAGAAGATGGAGAAAAAGCCATCTGTGCTTTTTGGATTGATCTTCTTGCTTCTGCTTCTAGTTTTGTTTCTGGACGTGGATGGTCATGAGCTCCTTTGGACTTTAGAAAGGAATTATGATATGTTAAAGTTAGAAAAAACCTTGTTATTAACCTTAAGGGACCAGAATTTGCAGCACAGGCCAAAACCACACATATGGCCTGATTTAATGCTTTGTATTTAATAAGGCTTATTTAATGTGAGCTCAAGTAACAAACATATCTCAGATGAAGCGTGACGGGGTAGAAATTCTCTGAAATCATGAAACCAGTGCACCACATTTATGTGCAGAAGAGCCTCCCTACACTAGAGTCCCAGTTGAAGCAACAAGGTCTTCTGCAGCCTGGCTACAGTGTCCCTGCAGTCATTTCCATTCTTCTCACACTTTAGACATGTGTATCAGAACATTAATTTCCATTAGCTTCCACAGAGAATTAATTTTAACCTGCATATAAGTGAAAGACTGGAAAATAGGAGACAGGCCAGTGGTTATGGTACTAAACTAGGTCTACAGCTTCCAGAACTACTGCCCATTATTTAAACACTTGCACACACTATTTTCCAGATATAAGTTACATATAATGCACAGCTGGCATTTTCCATAGAAAGTCCCTTGGGTACAACCATTTTCTGCTCTCAGATAGCCTCATGCTTACGCATGGTGCCTTGGCGAAGAGGCTGAGATAACATTTCTGACTTTTTGAAGATTCATTGGTTCCTATGTATCTGAGGCAAACAGCTTCAAAATCAACAGGTTTTCATGGGATCCTAAATGAAAAATATAATATGCTGTAAAATCATAGTAACGTAGGCTAATTTAGGTTGGAAGGGACCTCTGGATGTCTAGCTCAACCTCCTGCTCAGGCAAGACTAACTTCAGAGTTAGATCAGGTTGCATAGGACCTTGCCCAGTCATTGTGAAAATTTTTCTCCTTACAGTCATTTGACCTTTTCATATTCAATGACCCTTATTTATTGGAGCAAAAAGTGTCCTTAAACAATCTTAAAAAAACAGTCTTTAAAATTACCTTGCATAATGTAAGGTAATTTTAAACCAACCTGAAAAAATATGAACTGGCCTTCGTGCCTCCAGAAGTTGGTAACTGGGTAACCACCATGGCCTCGGCAGGAAAGGAGCCGCAGGGGTCCACTGCAGTTTGGACAGCATTTCCCTGGAGCAAAGACGGTGAGAAATATTTTCTGCACAACACTAATCAGATGAATCCCGTGTGATACAACGGTTCACTGGTGGTGGATTGCCACTTCTTGTTTGGGGCCCAGAAACTACACTGAGAAAAACTATGCAAAAAACTTTCAAATGTAAGCAAAAAACAAATTATAATTGCCTTTATTCTGTCCCATTATTAAATTATTAAATATAACTGGCAAAAATTATTTCTATTATAGCTTTATTATTTTATCATTTATTATCATCATCAGTTTTAGTTGTTTTTAACTTGGCAGTGTCTGGAATATCATACATGTTCTTGTCCAATTTTTCTGGAGGACATCATTCTGTCCTCACTGAGTGCTTGAGTAATACCTTTCTTTAGCCAAAATGTTCATCAGATCCAGAAATCAGCATGTGCTAGCTCTCCTGAGCAATGAACAGTTGTTTGGAATGGTCTCGTTAAAAATGTGCATGTATTCTTTATTTGCATTGTCTTGCTCCGGTGACATGACTATGAGGCCTATTTTCCAGTCATCATAGTTTATGAGCAGCTTCTTTCCTGCAAGGCTTGCCTCCCAAGTTACTCTTGGGCCCAGGTAATAATGAAGCCAACACTCAGGTCAGCAGGCACAGCACAGCAGGAAGCTGTCTGCAGTGCACAGTTTTCTCAGTAGCCTCACTCATGGGCCTGAGAAGGCTGGGAATCAATCTCTAACCATCAGAAATAGGGATTAAAAAAGAAAAAAAAAAAAAAGAAAACAAACAACTCCTCCCCAAACAGTAAGAAATGTAAAACGCATTGTTGCAAAATCGACTTGCATTTGAATACAACGAATGGCAGCAGGAAGGTTGGATAATCCAAAGGGTATCCTCTACTTTGATTTCTTTTATGTTGTGTTCACTTCTGAAGTGCCATTTAATAAACAGCCATGTTCATACTCACGCTGTTGTTTCTGCCTAGCTTTATCACATATGGCTGGTCTTAGGTAGATCTTCTTCCCATCCAAAGTCGAGCAGTCGTTGCCACAGACCACAACCCCGAGGCAGGACTTTTTTAAGATGCGAGAGTTGTGGTTGTTGGTGTTTCTCATGGCCCAGCTGCTGTGGTGCCTCTGAGCATTTTTATCCTCTGAGCTATAGATATGTTTTACATAGGAATCTGGCCATTCTTGAAACCAGTCTATCTGTCTTACGTCCTGTGGAGAGACCAAAGCAAGCCATGTTTTAGGCTGGGGAAGAGAAAAGCTTGTGCAAGAACCCAGAAGACCTGGTCCTCTGCTGGGTGTTCTCTAGCCCGGGTGACTCCAGCACCCTGGCCGGTGATGCTGGTTGGCAGGAGGGACCAGTGGAGATAAGGCAGAAAACCCACAGCTCCCTGTGGCTCCCCACAAGCCCCAAAGCATCAGGAAAGCCTGGCCAGGAGGTTCTTCTCACTCACTCATGGGTCCAGCTCTAGTGCAGGACCTCCCAGGAGAGGAAGATAGGGCGCCTGACATAAAATAGCAGATATTTTCCTTGCAGGCAGCAGTCACTGCCTGACTAACTTCTGTTAGCTTTCATGGCAGAGATCCTGCTTTGCCTTTCAGGCTATTCACAGCAGCGTTACACTGAATCATTTAGCTTGATTTGGCTCAACTTACTGGAAAAAGGGCGAATACTGAATCACACTGAGACTATGCCCATGTTTGTAGATCTTTAGTTCTGGGCTTTAGTTCGTTTTGGTCTAAACACCGTGAAAGACTTCCACAGTGATTTTTCTGAAGTCCAAAACAAAGAAACCTGACTCCTCATCAGGGGTTTTTTCACTGCTACGGACTAAGCAAAAAAAACCAACCAGGCCAACACTGTAAGGAACAATAAAAATAAAACTCAATGAAAAAAAAAACCAAACAAAAGACCAAACACCCGTCACCTCAGCGGGTAAATTGCGGTAAGTGTAAAGCATCTAACATACCCGCTGATGGTTTTGAGGGAAAATGTCTTGTAGGGGTACAAAAACTTAGTAGGAATTGCCTTGAAGTTGCTGATCCCAGACACTGAGAGCCATTACAGCAGCAAGAACATCAGCTGAGAGGAGGAAGAGTCCTGCGCTCCCCCAGAGCCGTCGGATAGTGTAGGGAAGGGTGTGGAGGAAGCCTCCGGGCTGAAATGCAGGTGAAGGTGACCTTGGGGCGGAGGGCAGGGAAGGAGGCAGCCTGGGACATGGAGGCTTTGGGCGAAGAGCGGTGGGATAGTAGGGAAGAGCCTGGGATCTGGTAAGAAGACAGGGTTGGGAGGTGAAAGGCAGAGCTGGATGCTGAAGGACTGCAGCAGGAGGAATCTGGCACAAATATGCTGAGGTGAGGGACAGGGAGATGACATTGGCGTGCGGGGTGCTGTGGGCTTTCAGTGGAGAGCACGGTTGAAATTTTTAGATAAGAGGACTAGAAAAGGACCGAGGAAGGGAAAGATCATTATTCTGCTTCTCAGCAAATCTCCGCAAAGCTTTTCCTAGCTGCTCCTGAAAGGAGTGTTGCCTCTGTGTGGAAAGCCAGCCCACCTGCCTGGAGCCCGATCTGCAGCTAGGCTGAGCAGCCAGAGTTGCAAGGCAGTCATGGGTGCTGTGCCCACTCCTCATAAAACACTACCCAGGGCAAAAAGCAGGTCCTGGACATCTCTAATTGAGCACCCACAGCAGGAGATAATATTTTTTCTCTCTTTCTTTGCACCTCATCCACCAGTAGACTACAAAGGCAACGCATCTGCAGGATTGCTATTTTTCATGTATCAGCAGGTCTTTCAATAATACGATTAAGGAAAAATACATGGAAACTTCAGAATTTGCTTAATATTTTCTAGCTTTTCAGTAAAACACTGTCCCATACCTCGAGGTGCAAAGAGAATAAAGGCAATGAGGCATAGATGACTGAGAAAGTGTGAGATCAGCGGTGAAATGGTGACGACTGGTCAGAACTGGATAAATTTCTAAGACATAGACACATACCTGGGGAAGTTTGATGTCATTGATATCCCAACTTGTCATTTCTCCATGTCGGGAAGCAGAGTTGTCCTGCTCCATCACAACATCATCTGCACCTTTCAGCATTTTTTAATGCCCTCCCAAAGTTAGCGAGAAAGAAGTTTCTCCTGGCTGCTTTTGAAGTTGACTGTCAGTACTCTCAAGCAGTTTACAACCAGGAAGCTGTTTCCTGAAGCTAAATGATAGAGAGGCTGCTCATTAAAGATAAAAATCAGTGTTCTTCTGCCAGAAAAACTTGTTCCATTAAAAGTTTTGCAAGCCAGCAATGCAGTGGAAAATATAGCTTAAAGATAGCCTGTGATGTTAGAGAGGCATCGTTAACAGCAAGCAAATCGTGCCTTTGTCATCTGTTTTGTTTTGCTCGGTCTCCTCTCATACCAAGTTTATAGTCACGTAACTCTGCTCACAGGCTCTTTGTACATCTGATCTGACTCTGGCTCAATATTTCCAGAGCCAAACTGAATGAGCAACTCAGCAGCTGCTAAGGGGCCTTTGAATCGCTGCTTACCCAGTAGATATTTCACATGCTGCACATGACGAAGGCGAGCAACAAGAGGGGACTGCTACATCATTTCAGATGAAATGGTGCTCAACCGTTTCAAATATCGTTGGCATCTCTGAGAGCTTACCAGTTGCATGAGAGAAGTGTAGAAAAAGATGTTGGGCTACTTGCATTTTCCTATCTCAACAGCAGACTGAAATAAAAAAACCCACCAAGGTATGTTTGCTAAAACCAACAGGTTTTGCCTGAAATCTTGTAAAGCAGGTGGTTGCCCTACTCCAAATTTCAGTACCAGCCAAGCTTAATACCATATCCTCAGGGATCCCAGGCATGAAAAAGTTTTGGGGTTTGTTTCCTCCAGCAAGGAGAGAAAAGGCAATTCAGAAAATGGACAGGCCAGTTTTCTCTTTCTGGGAAGTGGAAGAGCTTCAATGGTTTTAGGAAAGTCACTGTAATTTATGCCAGTTAAGGATTTGTTAAAGACTACTGAGTAGTGGGAGAAGTAAAATGTACTCGATGAGATTCTATTTCATAGACTTCATTAAGCATAATTGATTTTATTGTTATTTTTGGCCCTGCATATGCACAGCCCTTGGAAAGTGACTTAGCCTTCATGTCCTTAGTTTACCCATTTATAAAATACCTGTGATCTTAATTTCTCATGTTATATTATCATCTCTAAAGCAAGAGTTTGTGGATATTTGCAGAGCACTTGAGACGTTTGGCTGTATGGTGCTCTGGCAGTGTAGTCAGAGCCCCACTGCCCCACTCTGTGGCTCAGGCCTGGGGGGGGGGGGGAAGGAGAAAGAAGGCTACGGCAGAGCATCCCCCGTGGAAAAAGACCCCACAGAAGGATGCCTGGTAGTCAGCACCAGTGGGCTCAGGAATTTGAACAGAGGCTGGTTCTTAGAGGGCAGCTAACCCATCACAGGTTCAAATACCATACTAGACCAGAGAAGAAGGGAACGTCACTGCTCAGAAATACAAGCAGCTGTAAGAAACATCAGGTCTTCATATATATTCATATTGCACTACCCTGAAGGTGAAGGTAGTAAAGGCAGGACAAACAAAATATGAGCTGCGTTGGAAAACTAAGTGGAATTTACTAAACACATGACCTTTGACTATTGTGTGCTCTAAAACATGAAGTGTTTTGTTGTATAATTCAAAATTATAGTCTCATTGCTTTTAAAATTACTTTTCAAAATGACATGGCTTAGAAATTGATTTTTAATTTCCTTCTTCTTACAGAAAATGGAATATTTCTTCTTTTATGTTACACCGATAGAGATAAACCAATAATTAAATATTACCTTAAAGTTTAATGAAAGACACAGACCATTTCATAATAATACACACAAAAAAATGAAGTTACAGAGAATCATACATATTTAGCTACTTGCAGGCAAAGGCTGCAATAGTAGCAAAAACTTTGAGCGATAATTACAAGATGATGTGGCATATTAAATTTCTGATTGTTGTTTGTATAGCTTTAATTATTACTAAAGAGTAGCAGCTTTATGAATTGTAAGTTCTGAAATATTTTTTCTTTTTTTCTCTCCTCTCCTCTCCTCTCCTCTCCT